TACTTGATTCATTATGGAAAAAGGTTATGGATGAGGAGTTGTCTGTTTTATATAAGACTAAAGCTTGGGAGCTAGTGTCTTTACCACCTGGTAAACGCACCATTGGGTGTAGGTGGATTTATAAAATAAAAATCAAGTCTGATGGTTCTGTGTAACGGTATAAAACTCGATTAGTAGCAAAGGGTTTTGCTCATGAGTATGGTATAGTCTATGATGAAACTTTTGCCCCTGTTGCAAAGATGACCACCGTTCGCACAGTGATTGCAATTGCTGCCATTCACCAATGGAATTTATCTCAGATGGAAGTGAAAAATGTCTTTCTTCATGGAGATTTAAGTGAAGGGGTTTTTATGATTCCTCCACTTGGATTGTCTCATAGTCTTGGTCAAGTATGTCGACTTCACCGAGCTTTATATGACCTTAAACAGGCTCTCAGGGCATGGTTTGTCAAATTATTTTCAGTTATTTGTGACTTAGGTTTTCACGCCAGTGACCACAATTTTGCTCTCTTTTTACGATCTACTTCCTTAGGCTCTATTATTCTCATACTATATGTTGATGATATGATTATTACAGGTGATGACGCTGCTGGCATATGCTTATTGAAAACTTAATTGCAGGACTATTTTGAGATGAAAGATTTAGGGCAACTTAGATATTTCTTGGGAATTGAGATTGCTTCCTCTCCTAAAGACTATCTTCTCTCTCAGTCAAAATATGCTTCAGATGTTATTCAATGAATATTTTTATCAGATAATCGGATAGTTGAAACACCTTTAGAGCTCAATGTCCGTTACTCTTCTTCTAATGGTACTCCCCTATCTGACCCTACGCTCTATCGCGCTATTGTTGAGAGTTTAGTATATCTTACAGTTACTCGTTCGGATATCTCATATGCTGTTCATATTGTTAGTCAATTTGTTGCCTCACCCACCACTGTTCACTGGGCTGCAGTTCTTCGTATTCTTCGATATCTTTGAGGTACTCTACATCAGAGTTTGTTATTTTTCTCCTCCTACTCTATGGAACTCAGGACTTATTTGAATGAGTCTTTAGCAGATAAGGTTCCTATTTTAAAGCTGGGGATACGCGTTGCTATTCTTCTGGTTTTCTCATCCCACGGAAAAGCTGATTATCTGAACTCATTATTCTTCAAGCTTTCGGTTGCATTTCTAAAGGTAATGCCAACTAGGATCTTTCCATTAATTGAGATTAAATTTTCTTCCATCAATAGGAAAAATTTACTCAGTTGCAAGTGCTTAGTTACCCTAGTCCTTCCCTGGCTATGGGGTGTTTTCTTTGTTTTTTTCTTCTTTTTGGTGAACCATTGATTCTCATTACTCACAACTTCCATCTCATTCATTTTGTCAATAATCTCACTGTTATGCTGCCTTTTATGTGAAAGATTCTTAGCAAGTGATGGACTGAGGTCAACTAAAATCAAATCCCCTCCTATTCTAAGACTTTACAAATTCTTATTTGAAGTGTTAATTTCAAAATACTAACTTGAACTATTTTCCCTAACGGGGGTAGTAGTAATCTCCATTACATCTTAAACAACCTGGTTCAAAAGAGAAACTCCCTCCTTCACATTAGGGATAGAACCTAAGGTACCTTCTCCCAATGAAGCTAGCAATTAGGAGACAAGACTTTGTTGTTGAACTTGTTCTTGATCCACAGTTTCACTCATGATGATGGATTTACCCTTGTCGATCTTATGAGTATCATGATTTAGTGGGTCACTTTTAGCACTCCTAGAGTTAGGTTCAACCAATTTGGGACAAATATGAAGCTTTATTGTGTTTTTTACATGAACAACAAACCTTCGGCTTCCGTTGGTACTCCATCCCTATGGTAACAAGATCAGCACCACTCTCCTTGTCATCAAGCTAGAGATCAAGTGATCCAATGAGGTTAATTTTTGCACTAACCTCAACACAAATCCTTGCAAAATTAATCTTTTTCTTACTGGAAATGAGAGAGTCATCATATAATGGTCTTCCAACCCCATTGGCTAGGTAGATTAGTCCTCTTTAGTCCAAAATTATAGAGGTGTGTTATGGAACTTGATCCAAAGAGGATATCAGAATGATCTTCTTTAGTAACAATCCTATTAGCTTTCCATTTCCTGAGAATTAATGGCCTACCCATGAAGAGCCAAGGATCTGCCTCAAGTACATTCATTCTAGCCTCATCATCTTGAAATTTGAAGAAGAAACCCTTGTCATTAGTCATGACTTCTAACAGCCCATACTGTCCCAAATCTTAAAAGCTATGTATTTGATGAAGGATAAATAGAGTTTCTTCTCTCTAAAATAAACCACAAGGCAATTTTTTTATTCTACATAACCCCTTTCAGCAACTTCATTAGAGGGTTGAACAATAACTCTATCATCAATTCTTTTGGGCACATAGTACTTCAGTTTCATACCATCCCGCTGGCTTTAGATCATGACCACCAATCACTAGCCTAGATCCCACTTTCCCCAATTTCAAGGTTTGGGAACATGGGACATTGGGTTTTGGAGGGTTTCGACGTCTTATAGCCCTGTCCCCTATTTTATGCTGAGTTGGTTGCTTTTGGAGTGGTCTGGAACTAGGCAACACATCCTGCCTCAGATTTGATAACCTTAAGCTACGGGGACTAAGGAAACTTTATTGGAGGAAGTAGCATTTACCTCCATTGGTATGGTGGTGGTTGCTTCATTGATGGCGAGAGACCTTTCTCTGGCATTAATAGCCTAAGCACTTTGGTTCTTTGTACAAGACTACACCGTCTTAGCTTGTAGGCCTAAGGCAAGAACAGATTTGGAGCTATCCTTAAGGGCACAAAGGACCCAATGGGTTTGTGGTGAACATACTACCTTTGTTGGGTTTTTTGTGGAGTTTAGTTGTGTGTTGATATAGATGATGACCCGACCTGAAATAATTGCATGATTTTGTAGCAGGAAATTTTATGAGGATTAGTCCATGGAACGGAGGCTTGAGCCGTTTAGTAGCCCTGAGCACAGGACGTATAAAAACTGTTATTTTGGTGATTAGGGTTTTGGATCCTATACGATAGCTACACTCTGTATTTTTTCTTAATAATAGTGAAATCCCTGCAATGTCATGGATATAGGCAAATTGCCAAGCCACGTAAATTTTGTGTTGTGTGATTGTTTAGATTGCATTCTTATCGTTATTTTCATTAATTTCACTTTATTGTCATTGTTTAATTTCACAACAATTGGTATTAAAGCCAAGGTTTGGGTCTGAAATAAACAATGACTGGAGCAGAAGTGAAGACATATGGGGTTGAGAAGTTCGATGACACAGATTACGAGTACTGGAGGATGTAGATAAAGGACTACCTCTATGGAAAGAAACTTCATCTTCCACTATTGGGGACGAAGCCAGAGAACATGAAGGATGAAGACTGAAAACTGTTAAATCAACAGGTTCTAGGGGTTATTCGACTAAACCTTTTAAGATAAGTTGCACACAACATTACCAAGGAGAAGACCACTGTAGATCTCATTGCGGCTTTATCAGGTATGTATGGAAAGCCGTCTGCGAATAATAAAGTGCATCTGATGGAAAAGTTATTCAATCTAAGGATGGCAGATGGTACGTCTTTTACCCAACACTTGAAGGAGTTCAATACCATCACCAATTAATTATCATCTGTTGAAATTGAATTTGATGATGAGATTCGAGCTCTAATATTGCTAGTATTACTACCAAACAGTTGGGAAACCATCAGGATGGCTATTAGTAATTCTGCTGGTAAGATGAAACTTAAATATGATAATATTCATGATTTAATTTTGGTTGAGGAGGTGCGCAAGAGAGATTCTGGCGTGACTTCGGGATCAAGTTCTACTCTAAATGTTGACTCTCGTGGGAGATCAAATGATAGGAACTCAAATAGAGGAAGATCAAAATCAAAGAGTAAGGGCAAGAGCAAATCAAGGTCTGGACAACAAGCAACTTGCTGGAATTGTGGCAAAATTGGCCACATAAAGAAGAACTGCAAAAGTTCGAAGAAGACGAAAGGCGATGGCGCGAGGGCTCACTTGCAGCTACTCAAAAAAAGATATGCTCGAATGCTTTTGAGCCTGGAATTTCTATACCGAGTTGTATATATGTGAAAAGGATGAACACCTAATAGCAATAGTCTATTAAGTGAATAGAGGGGCACCACACTCATTAGTGCCCAAAAGGGGAAAAAGTACACTTTTTCTTTATTTTACCCATAAGCTAAGGCATGTGCTTCTCATTGTCTAGGCTTATGACTCACCTTATGCTCCCCGACTCTAAGGGAGAGAATAAATGCACACTCCTTACAAACAGATACTATTTAGTGCAATAATTCATTCTTCCTTTCTCTCGTCGAATTGGGAGTGGCATGAAAATGCTAAGCCAACAAAATAAAATTCCAGGAACCTTTCTTTGTAACCTGTAGAAAGACCCCTTCCCTTACTAGATCAAATAGGGCTTATTATTTATTACCCGGGAGAAAAATGCAACTACGGGATAAAAGCTAGGTAAAACCTTTTTTAGTACCCGAAACCCTAAAACTCTTTTTCAGAGATTCAAATAAATGTATGAGCTATGGTAACCATGCCACATCTATTGACTTTTATACGAATTGAAATTCGGAAGTTAAGAAAGCATAATTCAAGGTTTTTTAACAATTGAATAGCAGATTGACCAGGCTTACCATTTTCTTCAAAAAATGAAAGCTGCCTGAAGTTGTATCTTGCCTTCTCTAATAAAGCCTTAACCTTTAACAAATAGTAATGAGTCTTCACCAGTTCGGTGACATCTTTGTAAGGATCTTCCTTATGAATCTGGTCTTCTCTCTAGAAGGGCTGCTCAATCGACTAGTAGAACAAGGTCCCATGCCTCCCGACCAACTAGGATGGGACATAACACGTCTTTAGGTCTTGCACAACCGAGACCTCCATTTTTGTCATGAATTTTCCGAGCCCATCAAGAGTGCACATCGTCTAGACCTCTTTTCGGGGAAGAATTTCATTTCTAGAAGTTCCCTCTCGTATGTCACCTTGCTTACTTAGGGCCTTTGGACGACTAAGTCCACTCGACTTCTCTTTCTGAATCAGATTCACTTCTGAGGTGGAGCACACTTGACCCCACGTCACATGACCCAACTTCTCTTGCTTGCTGAATCGAGAATAACTGTTCCTTCTAAACCTTCGTCATTCTTTGAAGAGGGAATTGCTGATAATTTTGGCCGGCTCTGTAGTTTCGAGGCTGGCTTAGATCTTTCTGTCGTTTTAGGGAACATCTTGGCCTTCACTTCTATTTTGGTTGGCTCCCTTTGAGGGGTCGCAGGGGCAGAAGGCTAATTGACGAACTAGGGTCCAACAGGATGTGATTGACCTTGTGATTGTCAATCTCCCCAATCACTTGAGACGATTGTATTCAGTTGTTTTCAACATGAGCTCGTTGTTGGTGAAGGTGACAGTAGCTGAATGCTGGGTAAAAAAGGTTTCCTTTATATTCACCTCAGCGAAGTGACTTTGATATTTGTCAATATCCAATAGCGCCTAGACAAACGCAATCCTAATATCAGATGACAGCATCAAGTTATCATGCACGCTGAGGAGGGCTAGAATCTTCTTCAGGTTTTAGAGGTTAGAGCAGTAGCATGTACTCTTTTGAGATAGCATTTGGTCTTAGGATTGGTACTGACCAAGTGATCAGAAGGCTCAAGGGTGCAACATGCTAGACCTAAAACTTCAACAGGAGTGATTGAATTTCCTAATCTTTTGGGAAAACTTTCACTACCAATCCCTCTTTTGGAAAGAGTTCCTCTCTCCGTTACACCCATAGTGGAGTATGTCCATTCATACCTTTTAAGTGACAAAGGAGGTGAAGGTACTCCATTTTACTGGACCGCCTAACTAATAAAGGGGCTTTTCTTATGAAAGAAAAAGAACTCCCATTGAGGGCGAACTTGTTTCATGGGACCGCCTAAAGAGACTCCTGGTGTTAAAACAACTATGTAACTTAATGAAGAACTATGACAAAAAATCCTTTGGCCCTTTTAAACCCTCTTGACAAACCATAACCAATTCCAGATCATAAGGGAAAATCAGCTCTATGTGAAAAGGTGCTTTGCATAAGGTCTAGTTCATTGGGCACTATATTGGCGACAACATGAGTTGGTTGGATCAATAGAAGGTGAGTGCAAGCCATGGTAGACTAGGAGATGCATTCCTTAGATTAGTCATACTTCAAAATCTGTATTTATAGTTGTATATATAATATGTTAGGTGGTTCATCGAGGGCTTCTCGGGTGATTGGAAGGGCATAAGCTGCTTTTGTCTTACCTTCTATTATTATATTAGTCAAGGGCGAATGAAGGGTGTGTGCAATAGTTTTCTTTTTTTCTCTCGTTCTATCGCTTCAATGCCTATAATTTGAGAGATAATAGGAAATCCTTATCTCGAATTCGAAGATGTAACACAAATAATGACTCTCTTCACCAGGATGTCAGTAGGTTAGGCAGCTCTAAGGTTTTTTATATTCGGTGGAAGGCAAGTTGAAACTTTGCCCCAATCAAGTGAAACTAAGGGTCTGAAAGAGTTCACGATCTGATCTATGGGGTGTTAACCCTCGGAGGACGGCTAAGAATGTCCATTAAAAGGAGCAGACCAATGGGGTCATTTTTTCAAGCACGAATAGAAAGATCTATAGGGGTTGTGTAACCTAGAGAGATGGTCGTATCTCTTTGATGAATGTGGTATCGAGGTTCAATTCATTTGAAAAAGAGGCTCATCAACATGCTTAGGGGAGACCATGCGAATGGTTGAATTGATGACTTTGCTTCTATCTCTTTGACTAAACCTGAAGGAGACTTCGATCATTCAACTTTAGCTTCTAAAGGAATCATGTCACTTGGAATTTTGGAAAGTGAATTTTCTCTTTCAGATCTTGGCCTTTGTAGAACTTATCTTTGATTAGGATTTCGATTGAAAAGATGTTAGGTCGGTTCCTCATGTGCCTAAGAAGCAGGGGCAATCTCGATTGAAGCCAATTCTTTCTTACTCAATATTGATTATAGCAATAGCACTCGATCAAAGGGGAGCATAAGCAAGTTCAGTGGTTGAAACCTTTGAAATCAATCGATGGGAATCTCGAAGCTGTCTGAGGCAAGAGCAAACTCATATTAGGTAATGCCGTAGCATCAACTGGTACAAAGGAGAGGCACAATAGCAAAGATCAATCCATTTCAATTTACAAAAAGCATTGCCTTGGGCATGCAACCCAAAAAGATAGAAAGACCACTCACTCAAAGAAAACTCTTTTAGAGCTTGGTACAAGCCAAGCCCCCTCGATTCAGCAACCAGAGTCAGTTATGGAATAGTCTTTTGCTCGGCTTTCTCATTCTTTTGGACTTTCTAGCCAATAGGCTTTATAGGGACCTGCCTTGCTGACAAGTAGGATATGAAATAGAGAGTTGCGTTTGCCTTCACTTAGAAACTCTACACCCCTATTAGAGTAAGGCATGGTCTCGAAACTAGATTCACTCATTCTTGTCTCCAGTAATTAACCTATTCTAGAGCAGTCTGGTGATTAGCCTATCCCGCACTACTCGAAGGCTTCATAAACTCATTGTCGGGTTCTATTATAGTGGAGGTTACTATGAGATCCTTGTGCCAGTGAAGATTGCTTCCAATGATTGGGAAATAAGAAATACAAAAACCATTGCTTTATTTCTAACACTCTGGATAGGCGAAAGGATCTATGTCCTTCCCCAACTTCCTTTCAATCCATATCGGCAAATTTAGGCTTTCTCTACTAGGAGTCATCAAAGGAGGAATGGGCATACGCTGAGGAGTCATCAAAGGAGGAATGGGCATACGCTAGTTCAATAAGCCAAGAAAAAATAACCACCGCTTGGTTTTGACACTCAAGCGACCAGTCCTGCTAAACATCGATGCAAAGGTTAGATTTCACCATCACTATCTACCCAACTAGTCCTATTTGTTCTAAAAAATCCAACCTAAAAACTTGTTCTCCCCCAAAAAACCCTTTATCTCCAAGCATCTTTACTAGGTTGGGCAAGCTTTGATGCCCCTACTCCCAAGAAGTTGTTGGTCAAGATCATGGAACTATCGCTCGAGAAGCAAGTAGGTTGGTCCTTGTTTGGTCATAAGGATAATGGTTTTTCTTAGGTCAGGGGTGGTCGGATCGAGGGTTACCCGCGTTGGTAATGGCACAACCAGAAGAGGGGTAGGGTAGACAAGGTTATGCGCTGGGTAGCGTAGCGCATCTGTTTCGAGTACAGAGGTAACGAGGGGTGCTAACCCGGCCATCCAACCCAGTAGGTTAGGGGCGGTCAAGCCATAGGTTCGAATCCTACCACTTTTCTTGTGGATCATCTTGTGGTTACCGAATGATGGGAATAACAAAGCAAAAATTTAGAAATGAGCATGAAATGTCAATATATGAATTACTTCATTATTCGTTATTTTCGGGTCTTTTCGTTGCATTCACTTACAACAAAAAACAACCACCAGTGTTTGGTGTAGCACCTATATTTTGGTACATTCTTCTTTTTTTCCTTGGTCTTTCGTTCCGTCATATTCCTAATAACTTATCCAATTACAACGTATTAACCGCTAATGCACCTTTTAGCTATTCATCCTCCTTGCATTTATGCTGGAGACGTCACCAATGCTATGGGCTTTGGTTTATGCAGATAAAAAATGATGAATGGGATTATGGCACTCCACTCGCCGCCAATGCGAAAGGATGCCTTCAAAAAGAATGGAACGTTATTTCGCTCTACTGGATGCGTCGGATCCCGTATAACAAGCGAGCTCTTTACCCTCAAATTCAAACATGTGGGTGCAAAATGCTATTCTGCTCTATTGTTACCTAGCAATAGAAACCTGTTTATGCTGCTTCAACGACCCTTTTTTGCCTTTTCTTCGCTCTAGACAAGAGTGCCAGTGGAAACGGGGAGGGAACAGGCGAAGCATGTCGTTCATAATGGAAAGAAAGATACCACTACTTCGCCTCTTTGTTAGTCCACTGGCGCAAACATAATGGTCTCTAACTAGGACCAAGAATCCATTCGAATTTGGATCTTGACATGTCTGTGGTTTTTAACCGTAGGTATTTTGCCCGGAAGTTGGTGGGCTTATCATGAATTACGTCTGGGTGGCTGTTGGTTTCAAGATCCCGTAGAAAATGCTTGTTTTATGCCTGGAGTATTAGCCACAACTTGTATTCATTTAGTAATTCTACCCCTTCTTCATTCTTGGATCTCGTTCTGAATATTGTGACTCTTCCATGCTGTGTCTCAGGAACCTTTGCAATACGGTCCGGATTGCTAGCTCCCATTCATAGTTTTGCTATAGATGATACATGGGGAATATTTTTATGGTGGTTCTTCCTTCTAATGATCGGCATATCTATGATTCTTTTCTCCCAAATGAAGTAGCAGGCATCGGTCCGTAGAACCTATAAAAAAGAGATGGTTGTGGTGTGAAGTACTCTTGTGCACCTACGTCACTCAGCTCGCGTGCAACCCGGCCCTGTTATGTTATGGAAGAATTGAGCTTATTGTTGGGCTAGTTATTCAGAGCCAGCAATTGGCCCTTATAGCCTTTGATCGGTAGACTCTTTATAACTTCGGAAGATGGTCAAGGTAGCTTGTTTCCAAGCCACTACACTAGATGTGCATGTATTCAAACCCAAAATGCCTCTGTTCTATACTAAAAGGCTCTTTCGGATGAATAGGGAATTACGTTGCTCTTTGATGTGCAGAATAAGACCTACAAGCTCTCACTTTTATGGCAAAGATCTCTCCACACCAAGGAGGCGAATCACAATGGATCGAAGCCCTCTTTTTCCTTCCAATTAGTGAGATTCTATCTCTTACTTGAGAAATTGTGGTCAACCCTAACTACACCTTCCTCAAAATTGAGACTTTTTTTAAATTTCCTATACTACAATAAGCGAGCTTTCTCGTGAGCTCTTTCTTCTCATGAACATCTCAAAATCGAGTGGGCAGCAAGAATAAGAATCAACCTATAAAACATTTGTTCCCATGTAGTTGGCATTCTAGAAGCAAAGCTTCCTCGCTGCCTGCCTCCTTGTGAGGAAATGCTTTTCATGATCTCCAGTTCTTTCCCACCAGCTTGTTC